AACTCACATTTGTTCCAAGTTTCGACACAAATTGATAACATAATTCAACGATCAACAATGCAACCTAACAAGAGAGTGACAATAACAGGGCAGCATGAAAATCACATTCAAGACAAAATGACAGCAAGGTGGTAACACAGTACATATGATAGCATGACACGGTATTGTTATATATCATCTAGAGCGGCACCTCCACGACTCCACCATCATTGACTGCCTCAGCATACGCGGCCTGGGCAGCAGCAAGGGAGGAGTGGTGTCCAAAGCAAGCACCTGGAATGCCAATAACATGTGGATGGACATTGTGCCTGGTAATGATGTTAAAATTTTCGATTAAGCCAAACTGTAAGGTACATACCAGCCTTGGAAGACGCCAGTTTCGCAGTCCCACAGTGACAACATACCAGCACATGGAAGTAGATGTGGAAGTAGATGTGCCGGTAGCACCAGCGGGAGTGACTGCAGCGGCAGCACCAACCACGGCAGTCTGAGGAACTGGAGCAGTTGTAACAGTTGGGGGAGTGGGTCCCACAGCAGCAGTCTGAGTGGCTGGAGCAGCAGGAGGAGTCATGCCAGTGACTGTAGCAGCTGCGCCAACAACAGCAGTCTGAGGGACCGGAGCAGTTGCAACAGTCAGAGTGACTGGGATGGCCTGCATAGCTGGAATGGTTGCAGGTCCAGTTGTGGTTTGGGGAGTGGGCCCACATCAGTAGTCTGAGTGGCTGGACTGGCGGAAGGAGCATATGAGGATACAGCTATGTTAGAGCTGAATCGGCGGAAGAACACACGACTTACCATCTGCAGGTGAAGGCTGATACTGGAAGTAAGTGCCACAAGTGGGGCAGTGCCCACTCAAGAGCTCCTCCGTGAGATAAAGAGTGTCACCATCCTCATTGTGGGCGTCCATAATGGCTGTAAGGACATTGGTGAGCAGGGGTCAAGTTAGCAAACTTGAAACATACCATTTTGAGTGCGGATGAGGTCCAATGCACTTGCAAGTTCGGATAGACTGAAAGTCTGCTCCTTGCCGAAGTTGGGGAAGACCTTCATTTTAAACAAACAAGCAAGGGTGGGAGTATTACTGACGGGTAAACATTATGTGGGTAATGAACTGTAATTGTTGATGTGTTTGATGGCAGTTTTATATGTGTTGGTAACTTCCACTTATCGATGGGAGCTCATTGGCTGATCACCAATTAAGGTTCAAATCCCGTGTGAGTGAGTTTGCATGGCACACTTTGGGTCACCATTCGCGGAGTCAAGAGTAAAAAAACACAAGGTACAGTGCCCAATGTAGACTTACTTCATTCATTTGAGGTTAATATCAGTTGATCAGATGCCTGGAGCCTCATGGATGTCACGCGAACAGTTGGCTTGGCTGTCAGAGAAGATGGATGGGTTTCGATTGAGCCAGCTGCAGGGCAATGTTTCTACATACTTGTCCGAGGTAAATAATCAATGGTTTGTGAAGTGGCCCAAAGCTGCGGTGCACTTCAAGGATAAAACAGGGGTTGGACTTACGGAAGAACAGCTCTCAAAGGAGCAACACTGTTAGCTTAGGACACCATCTTAAGCAGTGCAAGGCTGTAAGTGCTATATTTGTAATTTCATATTCGGTTGCTAATACCAAATATCAGCAACTACGTTTCATACTTCTACCGCAACACCTCAGCCGCAGGGCGTGCCCGAGTCACGCAATTCACCAAAACTATCACGAAGTTGATGGGCTCCTCTACCGAGCGCACACATGGGCCAACCGCCATTGAGCACTTTCTTCATACCGAGTATCAGTCTGGGTCCTCGGTCAAAGAAGACATTGAGTCTCACTTGAAGAGTGGCAAATACACCCGACAGAATTGCATGTCGAGACTTCGCGCAGAAGCAGCCAAGGCAATGACTGCTCGTGGACAAGAATACATGAGGAAAATGGAGTTGGAGGCAAAAATGGAGTGTGAACGCCGTGCTGAGAAGGCAAAGACTGAGCTTGAGGCTCTATGCAATCCTGACGAGTCAGCGCATGTGCAGTAAGTACATTTCTAAGAATATGCTATTATGTGAAGTTCATGTTGTTCATGCAGGTACATTGAAGGCCTTGGTGCCAGTGGTTGGCCAGCTTCTACAGACTATCCAAGAAACTACTGGCTGGTATGAGAGTATTTACCTTGGAGGACCAGACCCACGTGTGGCCGGGGATGTTCGTGTTTTCAGGTAAGAACATGCAGCATACCTACCACATTGATACCAATAATGTTATTTACAGCTTCCACCATGGGAAGGGGTCTACTGGTCTCAGATTTTGCGAAGCACTTCCAGATCACCACACACGCATGGTTGAACCATTTACCACGTTCCTAAAGGGCGCCTTTGCTACCCAAGTCCTTCCCCCATGATCCAAAACCATCAACTCTGTGCTGCCTGACGCTACTCTGCTGACGGACGCTCAAGCGTCACACACCCAATCAATGGTCAAAGACCACTCCATTATCAATCCGCACTCAGCAGCTGTCACACAGTATCCCCATGCTTCCTCCACAGCACACAGTGTACTTCCTAACTGAGATCCACCAACCCCCCCAAGATCAGTCATTCGACAACTCCCTGGGGCTCTTTGGCACCCCGCTGGAACCATTTGTGATGTCCGATGACACACTTTATGAAGGTAATGCTGGGGCAGGGGCTGAGCCTTTCATGATGTCTGATGACACACTTTACACGATCACACCAGAAGACAATGATGACTCGTGGCAAACATCACTCCCGAGGCTGCCTCCTTATCCCGGTCAACTTCCACTTCTTACTCCTCCTCATCTTCGTGGCCCTATAGCTCGTCTTGAATCAGGTAACGTGAACAAGACAACTCGTCCTCATCCTCGGCTGTACGCTGGTAAATCAAATTCTATCTACGATAAGTTTCGTGATTCTCCCCCATCATCTCCTGTGCCTTCTCTGGCCACTCAAATACCTTCTCTGGCTGAAGTCATGCCTCCGTCACCTCCAGCAGCACTTGTTTTGCCCCCTGCTGCTTCCTCTCTACCAGCCGTGCCTGTGACACCCTCTGAGACTCCTGCTGCAGGCTTCTTCACCTGCTGCTATGCAGCCGCTGGACCCAGGCGACTCCATCTCTTCCTGCTGTCTCTTCCTGCCACACTAACCATGTCTCCTGCAACTCCACCTCTTCCTGCCACTCTAACCACATCTCCTGCAACTCCAGCTCTTCCTGCCATGCTAACCACAGCTCCTAGCTTCCAAGGCTTCTCCGACACCAGTGCCTGTCGCATCTTCACCTCTTGTGAGGATGCTGGAGCCTCTTGAGGACATAGTGAATGAATCTGTGCGATGTAGCAGTCGGACACACATGCCATCAACACATCTGGCAGAGGCCAATAGGATTGGCACTCACAAAAGGGCACGAAAGTAAGTTTGTTTTTTCTTTGCTTGTTCATTCAGACTAAACCGTCTTGATTCAGGCCACGCAAGTCAGCTTCATGAGCAGCAGAAACCAACTTTCACCCGCTGACACATTTCTTGTCCTCTTTGTTGTGGTGCCTCATGGCATGCAGTCTTCATGACACCGGCATGCAACGTAGTACTCACATAATTCACATCTTTTGTATTATATTAATGTTCCTGAAATATATATATCTTGATTTCTTGCAACATTGAATGCCAAGGCTCAGTCCGAGTCACTGACTGAGACTTAGTGTGAATTTTAAGTGCGCTGACATCACGTGATATTGGTTCATTCGTACTTACAATAACAAAGTCAAAACAACTTTGACATACATTCATACAGCTAGCAACCTTTAAGTTTTATTTTATTAAAGAGAAGAGATTCTGACGGGCAGGTAATAAGTATTTTTCTTGCCAAACCTTCGTCATGTGTATTTCAGACATTGAAAGGACAAGGTTAGTTCAAACTCCGCAAGGCAAGGCCCAAGAACAAGCTGATCACGCAAAATGGGAAATGAACCCAGAGAACCACCATGCTAATTGTATTTTTAGATGTGAATGGTTCGATACCTATCCTAATTGGGGCATGCGGAGATGCCCGTGAAGTTCCAGCTGATTATTATTATAGCAACAGTTCGATACCTATCCTAATTAGGGCACATGGAGACGCCTGAGAAGTTCCAGCTGATTATTTTATAGCAACGGTTCAGGTATATCCTAATTAGGGCACAGTGGAGACCCCCGAGAAGTTCCAGCTGGTTATTTTTAGAGCAACGGTTTTCGGTATATCCTAATTAGGGCACATGGAGATGCCCAAGAAGTTCCAGAAGGCCAGCCTCCCATCTGTATGCTTCCTGTATGCTTCCTCAAGGGATTCTCCCTTGTATGCATACTTTGTGGGGGGTTGGTGATCCTAGGTAAGTATGCATAACTGTTGTTCTACAATGCCTGGCATTGTATCAATAATTATGACAGTATAGCCTCTTTCTTGCAATCCCTTGTCTTTCAACATCAATTTGCTATGCGTATATCGAGCTTTATCTAGTGGGAATAATCTTATATAATCTGGCATATTTTTGATATGATTTTACCGACTAAATCTGTAACATGATAATAAAATGTAATGACACTATCACACTGTTGTCTGCTTCCAAGACAAACATCAAGATGATATTTTTCTGACATAGTCAGATCATATGTTAGATATTTGTGAGACTATGATAATAATATCTAAGGCTAAAACATGACATGTAATGATGTTTTTTGATTACCAAATATATCTAGTCATATCAAGTTCGGGTCGATTTCCTGATGACTAGCGGCCTCGTGTTTCCACAGCCGTGGCACGCATTCAATGACGCGTTTTCCTGCGCTCCTCGTCTCAGATACGTAGTCGAAGGCGTGGAAAGAGTGCTGCACCATGCATATATACAGTACATTCTCTTATATGATCAATATACTTAAATACAATGGATACAAGTCACTAGTAGTAACGATACGTGCCATAAGTCCCACAGTTACCCGATGATCACTAATCTCAGTTTAAGTAGAGACAGCGGTCATAATTACCTCCTTGGTTCGCGCCCCACCATGGAGCGAACAGGTGTGAGGTCCCAGCAGCACCTTGCACCGCAAACGAGAGGATGAACACCATGACTTGAGTGCCTCCGTCAAGGGCTACATCACTTGATTAGTCTGGGGTCCCTACTGACGTTTGAGAATACTGACCAGCTCCGATGATGTAGTTGTATTTGGCAAACCAGCGAGGGTAGCGCGTACGCAGCCACCATTGCGAGAGGAATGCGATAGCAAAAGTAGGAGAGGAGAGATGAATTGATTCCAACACAAAGCCATCCGATGTAGTATCTGTGAGATATGTGAGCATGCTGTCAGTAATTCAAGGAACACTGAACGTACGCGATAATTGGAGTATAAAGATAATCAGCACGAAAGCTTTGGCCAATACCTGTGAATGACCCAGAAAGGAACAGGTATGAAAAGTCCAACTAGGTAAGCCCAAGGAACCCATTGGTATATTATGGCCTACGGAAAAGAGCTCGTGACTGAGTCCACCCCATGCAATTGCCTGAGAGTTGTACATCTGTGGCTGTTGGCCAGACCAGATATTGGTTCCTTGAACAGATAACAAGATTTCACGTTGGTTATCTATGATTGAATTCATCATGACTACATGTGCAATGTCAGTTGATTGTTTTAGTCACTGTAACAAGTGGCGTGCGCACTGAAGTTCAGGATGGCACCAAGCAGCGTGCCAAGAATCTGGGCAGGTAAATGCAGCGCGAGGGTGGCAGCTTTGCATCTGTAAATTACGGTCAACACAGATTGCCCTGTCCTCCTACACGCTTGAAATACACGCACACTGAGCAATCTTGAGGTCGCGGAGTAATAGATTGGCTTGGGTGACAGAGTCTGTAACATCGGGTTAGCCGACCTGTTCTTGGAACGCAAGGCTGACGCATACTGGATCCGTATAGAACGAAGTACATATTTGCCACTGTCGTATTCGTCAATCAAAGCACATTATAAATCAACGACGAGCAAGGCAATCACCTGGCAACCCCTTGTGAAGGTAACCACCAATCATCTGGACAAACCTGAATGCAAATTGAAATATCGAAGATCGAGAATTGAATTCAAGCACCTACGGCTGGATGGCGAACATCAATCCTGTAATCGCGGCGAGTGCACAGAAGAATAGAATAGAAATCGTCGCCAGCAAGAGTGAGATAAGGAAAGCCCCACCTTCAACGCTCATCAGCCTGGACCATATTTCCAATCACAGCTACTCACCATGGCAAGGTCGAATCGGTCTTGTATAAAACGACCAGGGCAACAACGAAGGACAGGAGAAAAACGACGAAGTACCAGCTATTGGGAGCATCGGGGTACTATTACAAAAATATTCATGTTGGTAAGCTGAATACAGAGAAATGCTAAAACTCACCTTCAGCATCTGCTTGTAGTGGGGATCGATATCCTCATCATCAACGTCTTGCTTCCGCATTCCGTCGGATTGCCAGAACTTCCAGTCAAAATTCGCCCATAATTTTTTGATGCCCGACGGAGTCATCCAACTCCACGCAGAGCGCATATCAGTCCCGGTTCCAGAGGAGAAGATGACTAAACGTGGCCGCCAAACCCTATGATTTCAAACCGTCAGTCCGCAGAGTCTCACTAACGTTTGGTGGACTTGCCAAATTTGAGGAAAGCAAGTTGACTATCCAAGTGCTGGAATAGTAAGGTATCGCCTTGTTCAGCAAGCAGTGTGGGATCGACTTGCATAGTTGGCATTGAGAATGAGTGTTTGATTGTACTGTGTTCCGTTTTCATAGAACAAGAGTTGAGAAAGCTGTGGGGAGTTGGCGTCAATGTTCTGCCGTTGCACATGAATGTAGACTAACGAATGGGAAGTTCTGGGCCTTCCAGATGTTGTTGTAATATACAGCCACAAACACAACCCTAGACATAAGTCAATGCAAGGTCTCGAATCAGGGCGGAGTGGTCGCACATGCAAAGGAGGTAGCCCAGTAAATTCGAGAACTGTTCAAAAATATGTAAGGCTCCTGACCGCGGAATTGAGAAGAGGTCAAACCTGTGCTTTGAGCGGAATAGTCATAGGGTTCACCCCGCCAGAAATATACTGTCGCAGATCCAGTCAGTAACGCGATCCACTTCGAAGTTCGTTCACACTTACTTGCCAGTCAAAGCAGATAGACAGGAGCCCTAGACCCTCGTTACCGTTTGTACCACCAAACACTCGCGAGACGGCAGGCATTGTTGGGAGCTGCAAGACACATAATTGACAACCCGGTCAGAAGCGGAAAGATCCATTCTGGGAAAAGCTCCCAAATAAAGATACTGAGTCGATCAGCATGTTTGATCATTGCCGGTCTTAATCGAGGGACTTACGCAGTAAACACAATGTAAAAGACTCTGAGCTTTTTCCGTGCTGTCATTCCCGCCCTCGTAGAGAGCATCGAACATGGACAGCAATGGTAGCACACCGGGGTATAACATCTTTGATGGATATAACAGGATGCCTGTTAGAAGTATGTGAACACTGGGTTCAGCAACAGACTCGATTGTGGACATACCTCTCATCATGCCACCAATTCCATAACTGAGAACTTTGTCAGCGTCCTGCTGGAACTTGCAACAAAAATTCTCGTACCCAAGAAGTTGAGAAGAGAAGAGTAGGAACACTGAGGCACCGGCATTGGGCGTGATATTGTAATACAATCTTCAACAAAGACAAAAATCAGTAAATTCCATTAATATGAATAATGTCCACCGACCGCTGGACAGCAAGAACTTCGGTACCTAAGGCGGAGTTGGCAGAGGCGCTTGCCATGATCACAACGAAAGCATTTTCTTTCTTGTTGAATGGCCCCTACGGAAGATACTTAGAATAAAGCAACGGACGTGGGTAAATTGGTTTACGGGATTCAGATAGCGCAGGAGTCCACGACGAGGAATAAAGGTCTCCATGAAGATGCCCAGGATATAAGAAACAACCGCGAGGAACATCAATGACACTAAAACCTGTTTGCTGCGGCAATGATATGAGCACATAAAGTCGTCATGCTTGCTCTACCACGTACAGGCTTGAAATAATAGATTTCCGCTACAAGTTGACATTAATGAGTATCATACTGGCTGAAAACGAACCCAGGGTAAGCTCACCGAGTACTCCGCCAAAGGTTGAGAGGCCAAGACCGATAAAGAATGCACGGAATGTCCACGGGTTCAGAGAAGGGTCGTCGTCCACCGAGATGACGTGCGTAGCAATATCACGTTCATTGGAGAGCACACCTTCCTCGCTGTCCGAGTCAGCATCAACTGTTGCAGTTTCGAACGTCAGCCTTTCCCATCGAAGGATTTGTCATCAGTGCTAAAGGCTTTCTCGCTGGGCACAGTGTGCTCGCTGATCGCCCCTGCAGCGGTCAGACTCATCGTAACTGATAAGACAGTACTACAAGAGAAGCGAGAAGTTTCAGTGCTCAGCTGACTATAAGTATTTACCTCAAGCGACTATTCTCGTAATTGGAGATCCAGTTGTTCGATACGGCCATCTCTGTGGCCCCAGTGTACGGACCTGTACGCGTGGTATCGTGAGCATGTGTCTCGCGTCTAGTAGTGAGATAAGAGGGTACCTCTGAATTATGAGTCTAGCGAAAATAGCTCTGTTTTGGCATTTGAAATGGCATAACGTTGGTCAAATAGTACATGCCGGGGGCAAATCACATGGGCCAATGCATCACCTTGCGGAGCAAGGTCACTCCAATGCGGCGTTTTCTGCAGATTCAAAATAAAAACAAACATGCGTTCAAGCAAGACGACGCCACCCGACCTGTACGCGTGGTATCGTGAGCATGTGTCTCGTGTCTAGTAATGAGTATGATAAGAGGGTACCTTGGAATGATGAGTCTAGCGAAAATAGCTCTGTTTTGGCATTCGGAATGTCATAACGTTGGTCAAATAGTACATGCCTGGGGGAAACCACTTGGGCCAATGCCTTTAAAATTGATAATGTATTGCGCACCAAGTTCAACAGTTGGCTTCGCATCAGGAAAATTGCCCAAATCTGGTAAGGTCCGGAGAATATCCCGTGAGGCCTTCTGAGGCGCGAGCCGCGCGACACCATTTGTTCATCACATCGATGCATCATCGTCTGGCCAAGATGCCCATGCCCACCTCACAAGGCATTACTAGACCCTCTCCACCTCACGGCAGCCTTGCGAGGCATTTCAAGATTGGCGCTATCTAGGATGGGGTTGCGAGGGAAACTTCATTTGTGTGTGCAATGGTGCGTTATTTTGATATTTTGTGATCCACCAACCTCAGTGGCCATGCAAAGCAATCGACTCCAAGTTGCGCGTACGAAAGCCCGCACGTTGGGAGCTCGAACACGTAGAGAAGCAAGCACAGCAAGAAATCATTCACGACATGTGAATATACGTCCTATCACAACATCGTGTATGTCCAATGTCCATTCCTTCATGCCATCTCATTTTGCAAAGTCTCAAGCCTCTGAAAGGTCATAAACGTCCGTGCGATTCCGATTCATTATATGCGTTGTAACATACAGTGTTCTTGCTCATCAACGGCGTGAAACATGCACTTCGGTCTGGGTGATTGGTTCTAGAGCGAACTTGACTCTCAGCTCCACATCTTGATACGAGCACTATCTTTGGTATCTTGTCGCTGAGCAGAAGCATGTGATCCTGATTGCGAACTGATGTTGACTGTCACCCAGATTATCTGCCGGTCCTTATCCTATTGCAATCGGACTGCGGATCTTGTTGCTAGAAACTTGCATTTAAGGCCGTAACCTGATATAGATAGATAGGCGATTGCAGCGTGTTATTGTCATCGCCCATGGCGTTTTTTCCTTTTCCTACTTATCACGTGCACTTGCATATATAATTTCTCCGCATGCCTCTGACAGTCATTGTCTCCAACCACAGCTGAGGTATGGTTCCTAGTTCCTCGTCGTCCCACCGTCTCTTACTTTATGTTCTCTAGCGTGTTTTGCGTCTAGGTACTAATAATATCGAGTCGTTGTCTCCGACCACTGAGCGTGTTTCGTGTCTAGTTTCTAACAGGTTATCAGTTGCGATTTCTAAATGAAATCCTATCAGGCTATGCATACCAACATGCGCCCTTGTTTCAGCGACTCGCTGTAATCTTCTCTTAGATGTTTCGCCGTCTTTCTTTGACATGGGAAAGCTCAACCACATCCCGGAATTGACAGGTCCGGATACATACTTTGCGTGGAAGCAGGAGGTCACTTATGCCCTTGGTATTGAGGATGAGGACGTATAGCAAAACTCGACAGCAGATCGAATATCCTCCGCGGCGGGTTTTAAATTTGAACGTGCTCTATGTGCTGGGGTTGAGTATACCTGGACAAGTGTAAGACTAATAAGATGAACCTCGAGGAAATCATCCATGAAGAATGTCAAGGGATGTTCCTATTAAAAAAATGTCGTCAGCAGGTTTCGACCTTGCACAGTCCAAGAGAAATAGATTTCGATTCCGTTGTGGTTTGAACTACTTGGCTAGTAAGATCAGTTCAGAATCCAGATGAATGCGTGAGGAATCATCGATGCATCCATAATTGAATCTTTGAGGCTGTTCTGATTAGGGATTAGCACAGGTAAACCCGTGGGTGTCCAGAGCCCTACCCACACCCGTACCTGGTAGTGATGTTCCGGCCCGGCTTGGCTCGAAAGCCCCGGCTTTGGCCCGGCTTCAGACGGCCAGGGCTTTCAGAAATCAAGAGCCGGGCCAAAGCCCTCGAGAATGGCTTGGCCCTGGCCCGGCCTGGCCTGAGCCGCGGCCTGAGTATGAAAATGAGTAGGCAAATGACATCAATGATTAATAGGTAGATAAAACAAAAGTCAAACGATATCTATGTCATCCTCGTCATCCTCCAGCAGCAAGACATCCCAACCATCTTCGTCATCACCCTCACTCATCATTAGTGCTGCCGTGGTCCAGTCCTGAACCATGGTTCGAACCGGACTTTTGGTCCGGTTCCCCTGTGGTTCGGTCCACAGTCCAGGTGTCAGCCAGAACCGGACCATAGTACGGTTCTTGGTTCTGGCGTTGGGCGAACGGTTTGACTTCGGTTCGGACGGGTCCCGAACCGTTCCGAACCCCGAACCAATGGTATGTGCGCCACTGCTGTGACTGCTGCGGCAACTGCCGCGACCAATGCTGCGCTGCTCCCAAATAGTGAGTGTGCATCAATTACACTTACTGCTAGTCACTGGAACCTTCCAATCCTTGTCCTGCAAACGAACCATGGCCAAGTCGAGCATGTGCCAACTCCTTATTATTATAATCACTCACGGTCAGACGGTATCATCACAAGTACTTCAGTCTCTCAATCCAACGACTGAGTTATCCTTTCGCTTCTAGTCCGAGCCTCTCTTCATTTGAGCCTTCCTGTCTCTGCCTCCCATGGCAACTTCTTCCAAACCAACAGATGAAAGTTCACATCCATATGACACACTCCCGAATCACCAGGACTTGGACTGGATGATATCTGATGGTTCACTGCTGATACTAGAACTGATTTCTACGACTGCAGTCTGACAAGTCGCAGATATGCCCTTGTCGGAGTGGCATGCTCAATTATCTTCAGCTGCTCATGCATCATTGCAGGCATTGTCACTTCAGCCAATCATGGAGTCTTTGGAGTAACTGTGATCAACATGGTCTCCATGGAGCCTATCAACATCATGATACAGTCAGCTCAGTTGGGCCAGCAGAGTGAAATTCTGGCCCTGGTGCCAACTCATCAACAACTTGTCAAGGTATGCATCTTCATTCACACCATTCAAATTTTAACGGTGATTTAGCCCTATTGCAGCACCGCCGTGTCACACGAAATTCAGCAGCACAAAACGAACACCAGCACTCCATCCTGCTCATTTGTTAATGCCCTTCAATCAGATATTAGAGGAGTACTGGAGCCGTGTTTATGGCCGTGGCGTACTATACACAATCATACCACTGCACCTGTGACTAGCGGGTTTGATGACTCATTCGTTCCACTCCACCTCGCCGATGTTCCCATCTCACGGTTCAGTACTTTTGATGTACTGAAGGCCACCATTGTACATACTTGCGACAATCAAAACGGTGCTCCAGCCGCTCGAGGCAATGACGACAACTTGGATGAGGCCATTGCACTTCATAGGGAAGCGCTGGCCTTACACCCGGTCAGTCACACAGATCAGTCCTCATCATTAAATAATATTGCAGCTCAATTTATCGAGGTAACAATGAAGACTTGGATCGGGCTATCGCACTTCACAGCGAAGCACTGGCCTTGTGTCCAGTCAGTCACACAGATCGGTTCTCATCATCAAATAACCTCGCCGCAGCTGAACTCTCCTCCCGCTTTCGCCACCGAGGCAACGACGAAGACTTAGATAAGGCTATCGCACTTCACAAGGAAGCGCTAGCTTTGCTCCCAATCAGTCACACATCAGTCCATGTCATTAAACAACCTCGCAACTCAACTCTCCACCCGCTTTCGCCACCAAGGCAACGACGATGACTTAGACGAGGCTATTGCACTTCACAGGGAAGCGCTGGCTTTGCGCCTGGTTGGTCACACAGATCGGCCCTCGTCATGAAGAAGAGGGGGAGACACTTGGGTGGTTTGAGACAGCAGCAGTAGAAGCAGAGGAGCATGCAGCTGCTATGTTGGACCAGTTACTCAATGTCACGTAGATCTACTATGTCATTTTTTGTTGCGCTTGAAATTTTTTTGGTTCGGTTCGTGTTCGGACCACAAAAAAACCGAACCGGACCGTTGAGAATGGTTCTTGATGGTCCAGTTCAAGGTTTGATGATTTTGCAGAACCGGACCACGGTTCGGTTCTCAGTTCTCATCCAGGACCCTCTGAACCGGACTGAACCGGACCGCGGCAGCACTACTCATCATGCTGTCATTAGCATCCGGTTCAACATTGAATTCGTCGACTTCAAGTTCGGTGGATGATGATGGACCAGGTGGACAGAAAAGGAGGTCATGACGAATGGCACACTTAACACATTGCAGCACATCGACAATATCGCATTTGAGGCGATTATGACGCTTACTGATAGTGATACCCCCCTGTGAGAAGGTGTGTTTGCTCGAAACAGATGTTGCCATGATGGATAGATAGTCCTGAGTGATGGAGGACCACACTGGTCTGTATCTGTGTGTGTTCAACTACCGCGAAGTACATCAGTAACGACGGATGAACTAGAATGTAATAGTATATACGTACCCCCCACCATTTGACCGTACTTGTTCCAGATGGCAGTTTTGCCTCAACAGTGTCAATATAAAGTCTGAAATCAGCGTACCAAGGCCTGGCAGGATCAACATTGGCTGCCAATGTGCCCAAACCAAGGTCTTCATCTTCATCTGAACTCTTGGTCTCACGAATGAGTTTCTTGAGGCCATGAACTTTGCCTTTCTTGATGGGTAGTTGTACGGCCGTCGCTGATTTGCCCATTGTGACATAGCAAGTCTTAAACTAAGTCCCAGATTAACAATGTAAGTTGAACAGCAACATTATTGAACGCACCTCTAGTTCTGCACAAGCAAGGACCTCCTCTTGCAGGTTTTCTGGCCAGTGTTTCTTAAAGTACGCCATCTTACCCATTGGATCAAGTACTGTACAGATATGTTAGCAATGTGCAGCACCGCATGAACAGAATAAGACATTGTTAAGACCGTAGCTCAAGGGTAGATGGGATCCGAAGGGCTTGGCCTCAGCTCGTGCGCTGTGCCCCTTACCCGAGTATGTGCCCTTAATTTCAGAATGAAGTCCAGATGGAATCCGACGAAGTCCGAAGGACTTCCGGAGGCTGGCTACTCTAGTAGAGTGCTAGAGGACTTCCGGATGAGTGCAAGAAACTTCCGGAGGAGTATAGGAAACTCCAGAGGAGTTTCATCCGCTGTATCAGATCCGAAGGTAAGACTTCCCAAGGTAAGTTCCCTAGATAGAAACACATAGAGGATAGGCTGCAAGGGACAGAGTCCAAAGCAGGATAGGATAGGAGGAGTGGTCTGAAGGACAGGACATCCGGAGGTCCGAAGGTTAAGACGTCCGAAGGTTGCGACGTCCGAAGGTTACGACGTCCGAAGGTTACGATGTTCGAAGGTTACGACATCCGAAGGTCTGAAGGTTTATGAGGACCAGAGGAGTGGACAGGATCAGGACAGGAGGGGAAAGGCTACTATGGACAAGGTCCAGAGTAGAAACAAACAGAGGTAGACTACACTATGGTAGAGTCAGATAGACGGGATTTAGACAGAAGTCTCGGAAAGACAGGAAGTGCTGGAAAGGCAAAACTTCGGTCTAGGGAATCAATCCCTAGACTTCAGAACAGAGACATAGGGGACAAATCCGAAGGTCTGGATTTCCGGCCTAGGGAATCCATCCCTAGGCCTTAATGGAAAGGCAGAACTCAGATGGACCAAAGTCCGAGACAAGAATGAGTGAAGTCTAATGTGCGAGAGAGCAAGTCTATGTTGAGACAGAGCAAAGTCTAAGGTGATATTCGAACTAAGGAAACTTTACAGGAGTTGTACAGATCTTTATATACTGGAAGGGATCCGAGAGGATCGGTAAGCTGAACACAAATGCTATGTACGAGCATGTGGAAACATATTAGTAAGTATGAACGGCACATAAGTAAATGAACTCGGATATGAACAGAGTACAAGGATCAATAAGCAAGACGGAAACTGAGATAACCGAAGTCCGGAGTCAAGGGGATTACCATAAGGAGATAGACGCTGATTTAAGGTTTAGGCCTCGGATATGAGTATAGGTCGGATCCGGAGGTCTAGAGATATCAGATGAAGCGTCTGGATATCGGATGAGCAGATCCGGAGATCTAGGTGAATACGAGACTAGGATATGGATCATGGATATAGACCGGTAGTCTAGGGAAGGTAGAGTCCGAGATGGAATGAGCTCGGATCCGATAGGACCAAGGGTGGATGAAGCAGGCTTAGCTGCGGAGGTCCGAAGGTATTGATATATGGATGTACGAAGGTGTATGGATCCAAACCGATAGTGGACTGGAGGACTGAAGGCATGGATAAGGGTATGGAGGTCCGGATGTGCATCCGTAAGGCGTGGGAACATCATCGGACGAAGGTCCGGAATACGGGATATGACAGACATACACATAGCCATGATGTATGCTGGTGAGTCAGTTGTCTTTTCATAGTACTGGTCGATCTTTTGTGCGGCAGCATGGAGTGCGGGAGAAAAACCGGCATACTTAGGTCAGTCTGCACAATTCGACCACGCTCGATGAAGGGTCTCAAGGGCGGGAATAGCCAAATGAAGTGTGGTCCCTTTGTCCGATGAGAAAGCCTGTTGAGCTACATCTGTGTACTGAAGAAACAAATTAGAGGGAACTTTGTGAATACGAAACAGAACATACTGAGAGTAGATCAGCAAATTTACTGGCACGCTGTGGAATTCACAACCTGACTAGGTACCTGGAAAGTACTTAGCCAGTATATGAGGTCTTAACTCTGCCTAGCTGCTTCACTTGCAAGCAAGAGTGTTCGACCCTAAAGGGGCCTGCTGGTTAAGTCTAAATATGTCAGTACTATATGAGGAATGAAACCTGAATGTAGAAAGGTCGAGCCCGATGATAGGAGATGGAGTCTGACGTAGGGGATACCGAGTCCGATGTTTTGGGGATCGGGGAGGACAGGAAAGCGAGGGAGAAGTAAGGAAAAGTGCAGGCTTAGGATAGGAAACACAAGGGAATGTTTAGCAGAAATGAGAGACAGAGGATCAGAGTGTAAAGAGTGGAAATCAGATAAATTCAGCAGGTATAGGGGATAGGGACTAAGAAAGGTGACCTAGTATCAGGGAATTTCTCCCATCTACCGAGTGGTAAAGTACGATCTCCTACTGAGTCCTATTTAACTAGCTACGTGAAAGTCTGGAGTACTGTAGGCGAAAGTAGTAGCGCATCATCGGGTCTGACGAAATATGTAAAAGGCCATGAGGTGCTGCGGCCAGTGGGAATACATGTAATAGCACTGTCTACCACATCAGTAATAAGGAAATAGATGACTGCGCACCTAGTGGGGTAAAGTGCGACAGGACTGGACATAGGTAGGATGAGTCCACAGGGTATCTGAGCGGGTCCGATCATCAGGTTGCGTCGGGGATGTCGGGTTGCATCGGGGATGACTAGGGGTGAGTCGGACAACATGGGGTATGGATGCAAATTGCATAGTGGCTTCATACAAGCCCAGCGGAAATATGATTGTCACAACGCGCCCATTCAGTCGAGGTCAAATGGAGGTAGTCAATTTTGGCCTGTTTTGCCAGATTGTGTTTTTGCATGCCCATCTCATAAACATAAACATCGACATGCTAGGGCCCAAGATCTAATAGGGCAATACTTTGTGAATATTAGACTCACCTCCTTACTACCTTCTGTGCGATTGATCATTACATATGTTGAAGACCAATGGACTTTCATATCAAGAAGGAGCTGCGTGGGGTTTGAGACACCAGCCTTGGCTTGAACACTCTTGTAAAGTTCCTTTTGTTTGGCTGATGAGCGTTCCTTCACGCATATTGAGCGAATAAGTCCGATCTCATCACGGTCACCTTGAATTGACATGTCAGGCTCCAAAGTGTGAGGATCATGCGGGTCATAGTGAGGAGCCTTGCTGTATGTGCTGATGAGGAGTTGCATGCTGAGATTGATGACATGCGCTAAGCAGCTACAGTCATAATGTATGGGTTCGCTAGCAACCAAATAAAATCGGACTTACTTGATTCTGCGAGCTCACCATGGGAATTCCTTGTTACATCGGACTTCATATAATAGCGCAAATTCTTCGAGCATGGTACTGTTGTTAGCTGCATTGTCACAGGTAACATGGCCAAGCTAAAAAGATTCAATTAAACCACGAATCGTTCAGTTGTGATAACATACCTTATGTACAATACCCAGACGGTCCAGAACCTTGAAGAGAGTACCACTGAGCCGCTTGCCATTGTGTGAGTTGTTGACTTGCATAAAACCAAGTAGCGCACTTTCACACTCCCAATGAGTATCAGTCTTTGCTTTGATCCAATGGCCTGTAATGGCAAAGTAAGCATCGACATTCTCAGCCTGCCAGGCATCGCAGGTTGTATTTATCGCACCACTAATGGCATCACTATTCAGCTTCTCCTTAAGTTTCATAAGATGATTCTTGAACATCCTCATGATCTCGGCTCGAGTCGCCTTCCTGCCCGGGATCTTGACGCGCGACAAGCCATTCAATGGCAGCCTGCTTGAACAAGCTATCCGAGTACGGGATGACTCATTCGGCAATCTTTTGTTCAGTCAGATGGGAGGTGATTATTTGCTAGTCATGTTCAGCCTTTTCCTTGCGAGCCTTGACATCACCAGGTAGCATCGACTCGAACAAGTTTTTTTTGCCATGTACGATTTTTGCCTATGTAATGTATCAATACAAAGTTCAGGTAGAGCACATAGTTACTCACCGCAAAGTTAGCCTCTGCATGTTGATGGAGTGTAGTCGTTTCATTGACGAGTACACATTTTTTCCTATCAGCTGATCAGTGGGTGAGTGTAGAAAATGTGAGCAGACTTACTGGCAAATCTTGCACTTGCAGTGCTTCTTGACTTTGCCATTAGACCCAGTGTGATCAAATGTGGCGCCAAAAAATTCTTCAATGTCAGCAGTTTGGAGCTCACACGTTGACCCTGTGTCCGCAATCGACTGAACGTCGATGTCGATGAGGATACCATCCTCACCCACTGGGTCCGAGTCTGTTCTTGCAGCCGCCTTGCGAGCTTTCTTTGCTGATGGTCAAGTATTAAGTTAGATCACATCATGAAGGGGCGAATAAACTTACGTTTTGGGTTTGTGCGCGCATTTTCACGCTCGTCGATGTCATCATCCGAGATTTCTTCGACGTAGGGGCGTTTGTTGCTAGATGTAGATGTGGCAGGCTGGACTGGCTGGGGCACAGAAAGCTCTAGTGATGAACCTGAGGTAGCAGTCTGTGGAATTTCGTTAGTAGACCTTGCAGCTTCTGCAGCGCGGAATTTGTTGATGGCCTTCATTTGTAATGGTAGGGCTGCCCTCTCCGAGTGCTCAAGAAGGGCAGCTGTTGGTTTTGTCCAACGTATGGGGTGTGCCACACGAGGCTCATCACCATTGGTGGAGGCTGCAGTGTCTGTGCTGATCATATGAAGGTAGTAGGTAGGGGGGTAAGGAGGCACATACAATGACATATTAGCGAGAAATATAAGTTAGAGTCTCGACGGACCATCAAACCTCCGAACGAATAGCATAGTAGTAAATCAAAGGACCTATTCTGACATTAGAGTGAGTAATGTTAAAAGAAACATGGCAACTCACTTGTATATCAACAGGAACATGGTGATCCACTCGTCTGAAGGATGTAAAGTCCTTTAATCGGTCAATTCTGACATGTAGTGATGGTGGGGCGAAGCAGAAGACGAAGGTAAAAATAGAATCTGGCACTGGAAACGTGAGTCCGAGGCAGTACATAATGTACATAATACTACCCTAAAAGCCCTGGCCTGGGCCGGCAGCATAGGCTTCGCAAAATCATGGGCCAGGCCAAAGCCCTATGCAAGCTGTGACTTTGGCCTGGCTCAATGGGGGCCGGCTTTGGCTGGCTCACGGCCAAAAGCCGGGCCATGCACATCACTACGTGTACCCAAGGGTACCAACGGGTACAGGTCTTCAAATGGGTATCAACGGGTTGCGCAGGTATGGCAGTGAACCTGCGGGTATAAATTCAAACTATACTAGAAAACATTTAGTAACTACAGATTAATAATAATACCTAAATCTGAGCCTTCGTTGTTGCCTCAGTGGTGAAAGTGGGTGGAGAGTCGAGTCGCGAGTGACAACAGCCGACCTGTGTGACTGACCAGGCGCAAAGCCAGCGCTTCCCTGTGAAGTGCAATAGCCTCATCTAAGTCTTTGTTGTTGCCTCGGTGGTAAAAGCGGGTGGAGAGTTTAGTCGTAAGGTTAGTTAATGACATGGACCAATGTGTGTGACTGACAGGGAGCAAAGCTAACACTTCCTTGTGAAGTGCGATAGCCTCATCCAAGTCTTTGTTGTTGCCTTGATGGTGAAAGCAGGTGGAGAGTTGAGTGGTGAAAGCGGGTGGAGAGTTGAGTTGTAAGGTTAGTTAATGACATGGACCAATGTGTGTGACTGACCGGGTGCAAAGCCAGCACTTCCCTCTGACGCGCGATAGCCTCATCCAAGTCTTCGCCATTGCCTCGGTGCGAGAAGTGGGAGGAAAGTTGAGTTGCAAGGTTATTTAACGATGGGGACCGAACTGTGACTGACCGGGCACAAAGCCAGTGCTTCCCTGTGAAGTGCAATAGCCTCATCTAAGTCTTCATTGTTGCCACAGTGCTCGAAGCAGGAGGAGAGTTGAATTGCAAGGTTATTTAATGACAAGGACCAATCTGTGTGACCAACCGGGTGCACAGCCAGCGCTTCCCTCTGAAGTGCGATGGCCTGATCCAAGTCTTCGTCATTGCCTCGGTGTGAGAAGCAGAAGGAGAGTTGACTGGCAAGGTCATTTAATGACATGGACCGATCTGGGTGACCGATCGGGCGCAAAGCCAGCGCTTCCCTGTGAAGTGCGATAGCCTGATCCAGGTCTTCGTCATTGCCTTGTTGCGAGAAGTGGGAGGATGAAGACAGGTGTTATGTTGAAGAAGATGGAGGAGAATAGCAGGGTGTGGGCATTGGCGGTATCACAAGATGGACAATTGATAGTAATAGTCTAGACTCATGTAAGTAGTTAATGTGCACCTTACCGCAGACTACGGCAGTTGCTGCAGCAGACGACCATATATGGAAGTGATGGGTATGCGGGTCACAGGTCTCAAAATCCCAACCCACACCCGTACCCGCCAGTAATCATACCTGCGACCCGCCGCAGGTTACCCATACCTGTGCTAATGCCTAGTTCCGATAGACAAAAAACTTTGTCGTATGCGGGTTTCAAACCTGCGCAGTTTGAGAGGAACAGATTTTGACTTTTTTAACAACCACTTGGCTAAGCCCAGTTGAGATGGACCACGGAGGAAACCATCTATGAGTGAATCATCAAGAGTGTTCCAACCGCATTGACCTTCTGTGGCACAGTATTGTGCCACTTCTGCATCATGCCATCTCATGAAGCACTCATGATGTGGTGCAATAAGACAAGATTCCATATATCCTCCTCATGTTCCCGAAACTTGTGCTTTGGAGTAAAAATAACTTTTTCATTGGCAGGTTTTGAACCTACACAGTCGAAGAGGAACAGATTTTGACTCTGTTGTGGTAACTACTTTTGCCAGGATGAAGCTGAGATGAACTTTTGAGGAAACCATCCATGAGTGAACGTCAAAGTGTGTTCTGATAGCAAAAAAACCACAATCAGCAGATTTCGAACCTGCACAGTCCAAAAGAAACAGATTTTGATTCTGTCGTGGTAACCACTTTGATCAAGACTGAGATGAACCTCCAAGTCTGACATCAGTAATGATTCACACATTTCTTAATCTCTTTTTTTGTCACTTGTTTTTCCACACAATAGTGAAGAGCTTCGCACAAGAACCATAATGTCTCCTTGTCACAAGCTGCCACAAGTTAAAAAGCAGATCCTACCCTCTTGTTTTTGGCTTTTTCACACCTTTTTCACACTTGTTTGAGAATGAACTGCATTGCAGTTGGTAATTGCCCCATATTTTCAACTTTCTCACACTTAATGCACACTTGTTAGAATGAAAAACAACTGCATTTAAGGCGGTTAAGCATGTAGAATGAAAATAAAATAAAATGTGTGATGACAATAGTAGCAGGGGGGTGATGAGACAGCATGTGAATAAAGAAATAATTCATAGTCACTTGCAAAACATGTACTGGCAAGTAGATTAAAAGTGGTCATAATGAGCTAAAATATGAGACATGATTGAAAGCAGATACAATATGATGACAGTGGTAGCAGGGGTGGCAACAAGATGGCATGTGAACAACAAGGAAATACAAACAGTGGTATAGTCTGTCGGTAAAGTTCATAGTCAGTTATAGGATTAACTGCGAAAACAAAAGACAATACCATCTAACAAATGAGTGCTCACTCATCCTCAGATTCTTTGTCAACATCCATCTAAGTACCATGCCTCTTCACTGTGAGAACCTGTGAGTTTCAGAGAATGACTGAGTCTGGAAGGCAATTGGTAGATGATGTGTGGAACCTTTTTTTTCTATCATTGTTCATTGTCCATTCGCACGAAACAACATGAATACCCAAGAAACTACCATTGAGCTTTACGACAGTGGTGCATCGCAACACATGTCCCCATATCAAGATCACTTTGTTAATTTCAAATCAATTCCCCCACATGCAATTGAAGCTGCTAACAAACATACCTTCGATGCCATAGGCAGAGGTGATCTGCCTGTTGAGATTCCAAATGGCAAAACCAAGACCTGCATCCTGTTGACAAATGTTCTCTATGCCCCATCAATGGGAGCAACCCTCATTTCAATCAGTAGACTCACCCACACAGGCTATGCAGCCTTATTCTGTGGTGACTCATGTAGAATTCTCGATGCTAAGAACAAGACACTAGGCGAAGTTACCATCAGCAGAGGCTCATATTGCATCAAAAATGAACTGACCACGTGTGCAGCAGCCACAAATACATTGAAGGTTCTGACCATGGAGGATCTACACCGACAGATGGCCCATGTCACCCCATCAGCTATTTGTGAGATGTTGGTGAAGGGGATGGCAGAAGGAGTCAAGCTAGATCCTAACCATACTACCATGGGTCAATGCAAGTCTTGCAAATATGCAAAGGCCACATGCAAACCAATCGGGAAGGAATGTAACCCAAAATGATGTGAAAACCTCAGTGATGAAGTTCATACCGATGTGAAAGAGAAATAGCGACTAGGCAGTTAGAAACTAGCGCTACTTATCCAAATAGGCGCAAGTGTAGTATTCGACCCAAGAGGACTGCTATTGAAGCAACTCCCTTCTAATATGCAAGGGTAGCGATAGCACGAAGGACTAATAACCTATAGCGACCTAAGACCCAAAACTGATGAGTAGCACTATTGCGATCAGCGACTAGCGACAGTGAGTTCTGACAGAGAAATGTGTGTATAAGTGAGAGGTGCTATGCAAGTTGTTTTATGCGATAGCGCTATGCGACATCCGACTAGCGACAGCGAGAATAAATCAAAGAGAGCGAAAGCGAGGAGTAAAGTAAGACAGTGCAAGTGAAATGCCCGATAGCGACTAGATTATAGCTTGACTACCGATAGCTGATCCCGATGTTGCGAAAGTCGAACTTAAGAGGGAACTTTAGCAACGCGCACTTAAAGCAAGTCAAGTGACATGCGATCAAAGAGATTGGCAAGAGTGGAATCGATTGCACCAAGACTAGGATATAGCGACTAAAGTGACCCTGACACCAGCAAAGGTCCGGGGAAGGGAAGTACTGTACTGTATGTAGGACGGGTCATTTTATCATACTGCATAGGGGTTCAGGATTGCGTAGGCAAGTATAGTAGCGACACTGGCAAGGGCACAATGTAGCGACAGGTAATAAACATGCAGCGCTGTGGAACACGAGGACACATGTAATAAGACCTGCGACTGATGAGTAGCGACATTTAGGGAAAAATAATGCACCAGTGGAGGTAGGTGGACATAGGCAGGACATGGGAGGACGGAATACCTAGGTGTCAGACCAGGATAGCACGCTATGGGAGAAAAGTAGTTCCAAAGCGGATAGTTTGGGAGCTGAATAGTGCTGGTGACTAGCACCTTACTCTTTTCCTCTAGGCAAGGCAAAATATGCCTATGACACTCATACGCGCCTAGCGCTGGTATGATTGTCACACCGACCTGTGGGGACCATCTCAAGTCCAAACACCAAGTGGGAAGACCTACTATGTGTTGTTTACAGATGTTCACACTTGTTATACATGCCTATACCTTTTAGCATCAAAATATGAAACATTTGAGTCATACAAGACTTACGAGGCATGGTTGAAAACCCAGCATAAGGTCCAAGTCAAATGCCTTTGGTCCAACCATGGTGGAGAGTATCTGAGTGACAAATTCACTCAGCACCTTCAATCACATGGAACAGTTCAAAAACTCACCACCCATGATACCCCACAGAACAATGGAGTTGCAGAAAGGTTGAATTAGGACACTAATAGAATGTGTCCACACAGTGCTACATGCAAGTGGTCTACCAAAGAACCTATGGGGAGAAGGCATCAAGCACACCGTCTATGTGAAAATAGAACCATCACACACTTGCTAGAAGAAAAGACACCATATAAGATGTCAACAGGGAAGAAACCACACTTAGGGGACCTACCAATCTGGGGAACCAAGGTCTGGGTACATAACCCAACTGGCTCCAAGCTTGATATGCGAGTACACATGGGTCAGTGGATAGGTTTTGACACTGAGAGTGGAGCACATAGAGTATATTTCGAGGATCACCAGAATATCGCTGTTGAATGCAACATCTCATTTGATAGATGAACTGAGGAAGGTCCAGTGCTAACACCACATTCACTGATTGAGAGGGAGAGTGAAACTACAAATACCAATCAGCAAATGACCAATCATCAGGACACAAACCCCCCACCAGATCCAGAACCTCAGAATGGCTCACTTGGTCCAAACTTTGAACAGCCACCAACCGGTCCAAGACGATCTACTTGCCAGCAGACAGAGTCCCCCTACATGCGCATGTTGCATAGTGGTGAAGGTACCCATGATGGTAGAGAAGGTGACCCAGCTATCCCAAGAGGAATGCAGAAAGTGGAGAAAGAGGGAGAGCAAGGTGGCAATAGCATGGGAACCTATGGAGAAGGGTTAGGAAGTGAATTGTGATTTGATGAAAAACCCACTGCTTATGTGATGTTCATGGGAATGAGAGAGGCTGAAGGACTGGAACCATGCACCATCAAAGATGCAAAGACACAATCTGATTGGACAAAGTGGAAAGAAGCTGTTAGTGCAGAAATGAAGAGTCTTGATGAAGCACATACCTGGGACATCATCAAGCAACCCAAGAACAAGAACATTGTCAGCTGCAAGTGGGTCTTCAAGATAAAAAGGAACGCTGAAGGAGAAATTGATAAGTACAAGGTCCAACTGGTGGTGCGAGGCTTCACACAAGTTTATGGGGTGGACTATTATGAGACTTACTCATCTGTTGCTCGTCTTGCATCACTGAGACTAATCCTTGCTATCGCAGCACATCAGGACTGGGACATTGGAGCCCCTTCAGTGACAAATCCCGTATTATACGGGTCACCCCGACCTACATAATATCCTGTGTAATACGGGCCAGCGGATTATGGGCCGATGTTATGTATATACCCGATATGTTGACGGGTGGGCCAGGAGGAATATTATTTCCGATGGAGACGGGTGGGCCCATCTATGCTGATGTTATATATATCATCGATGATAGCAGATGGGCCGGGAGAAATATTATTATGGAGATGGGTGGGCCCATGTGGGTAATATGTAGAGTAGGATTGACATATATTATAGACCTGAGGAGAGATGTATAGCAAATAGTATTATATAGACGGGTGGGGCCGACGTATCAGTATTATTTTGTAGACGGATGGGCCGAGGGAGCGGTGAAATATTTATTAGATAGACGGGTGGGCCGATGTAGGGAAATATTAGATAGACGGGTGAGCCAAGGGTGGGGTGAATTATTTATTACATAGACGGGTGGGCCGATGTGGGGTAATATTAGATAGACGGGTGGGCCGAGGGTGAGGTGAATGATTTATTACATAGACAGGTGGGCTGACGTGGGGTAATATTAGATAGACGGGTGGGCCGAGGGTGAGGTGAATTATTTATTACATAGACAGGTGGGCCGACGTGGGGTCATATTAGATAGACGGGTGGGCCGAAGTGCAGAATTTTACATAGACGGGTGGGCCGACATCGGGTAATATCAAGTACCAAGTACTAAAACCCAAAACCCAAAACCTGAAACCTGAAACCTGAAACCCGAGCCCTGAACACCCAGACTTGGGACTCAAGAGACTCAAAACTCAAAATTCAAAACCCAACTGGAAAGTCATACATTTTTACGAGTTAAGAAAATTCAAATTGAAGATGATATACATTTTTGTCATCTGGAAATACCGAGTACCGAGTACCGAGACCTGATACCCAAGACCCGAGATTCGGCACTCGGTAGTCAGTGAAATGAGTACAGAAATACATAAGATACTACACATTAGTGTCAAATTTTGACTTGTGAATCACAAGTCTCGAGTCTCGAGACTCGAATCACCGAGTGCCGAGTGCCGAGTGCCGAGTGCCGAGTGCCGAGTGCCGAGTGCCGAGTGCCGAGTGCCGAGTGCCGAGTGCCCTGAGGCTTCCGGGTATTAAAACACAGATAGCCCTCGCTCTCAGGGGGTCATCAGAATTTAGATCACCTCAAACGGATGTGATTTGGGTGAGATATGAGCAAAATACTATATACGGGTGAATTTCAGTATTGGAAGTTTGATGCTTTCGATGTTTTTGATGTCGGGTCTTGATGCTTTGGGCATTAACATGTAGATAGCCCTCGATCTCAGGGGTGTGGCAAAATTTAGATTGTCTGAAACAGATATAATTTGAGTGAGATATATGCAAAATACCACACACTGACTACCGAGGGCTGAGTACCAAGTGCCGAGTGCTGAGTGCCGAGTTCCGAGTTCCGAGTTCCGAGTTCCGAGTTCCGAGTGCCAAGTACCCCGATGCTCTCGGGTATTAACACCCAGATAGCCCACGCTCTCAGGTGCCTGTCAGAATTTAGATCATCTCAAACAGATGTGATTTGAGTGAGATATGAGCAAAATACTATATACCAGTTGAATTTTGGCATCAGAAGTTCGATGCTTTCGATGTTTTTGATGTCGGCTCTCGATGCTTTCAGGCATTGACATGCAGATAGCCCTAGATCTCAGGGATTCATCAGAATTTAGATAGTCTTAAATAGATATGATTTGAGTGAGATATATGCACAATCCAAGATACAGGGTGAATGAGTCCCAAGTGTTGAGCGCCAAGTGCTCAGTTCTGAGTTCCAAGTGCCGAGTGCTGAGTGCCGAGTGCTGAGTGCCCCGATGTGTTCAGGCATTCAATCACTGTCAGGAGGTGTTCCCTCATCCACCTCAGTGCCATCAGTGTTGCAATCAAGCTTTCTGCCGTGTGCTGAGTGCCGAGTTCCGAGTTCCGAGTGCCCCGATGCTTTCGGGTATTGACACCCCAGATAGCCGTCACTCTCAAGGGCCCGTCAGAATTTAGATCATCTCAAACGGATGTGATTTGAGTGAGATATGAACAGAATACTATATACCGGGTGAATGTTGGCATCAGAAGTTCAATGCTTTCGATGTTATTGATGTCGGGTCTCAATGCTTTGGGGCATTGACATGTAGATAGCCCTCGATCTCAGGGGTGTGGCAAAATTTAGATTGTCTGAAACAGATATAATTTGAGTGAGATATATGCAAAAATACCACACACTGACTACCGAGTGCTGAGTACCAAGTGCCAAGTGCAGAGAACCGAGTTCCGAGTTCCGAGTTCGAGTGCCGAGTGCCGAGTGCCGAGTGACCCGATGCTTTCGGGTATTAAAAGCCCTCGCTCTCAGGGGCCCGTCAGAATTTAGATCATCTCAAATGGATGTGATTTGAGTGAGATATGAACAAAATTCTATATACCGGGTGAATTTTGGCATCAGAAGTTCGATGCTTTCGATGTTTTTGGATGTCTGGTCTTGATGCTTTCGAGCATTAATATGTAGATAGCCCTTGATCTCAGGGGTGTGGCAGAACTCACAT